TGAAACTGCATCTCTTACAGCTGGTCTCCCGCCCTCAACTGTCTTCTTTGGCTTCCCAAGTCCTGCAGTTCTCTTCCCCGCCTCACCCCTACCTCGACCCCGTGGTAGTCCCTCTGCTTTCCTTCCTACTTCCTTCTTGTCTCCTTGGCTCCTGTGCCCCACCCTCTCTTTCCTTTTCTGTTGTCCTCTCCGGACTCAGCAAGTGAAATGGAACGTGTCTTCCTGCGGAGAGCTGGCCAGAGAACAGCTGGAAGCTAGTGCTGGAGGGAGCTGCTGAGTGGTGGCCAGGAGCCCCAGGGAGGCTGGGCAAGCCAAGCAGGCTGAGCCCCAACATTGTGGGGCCCCTTTGGAAACCTTCCACCACCTTGCCTGCAGGTTCCAGCATGGGGGTGGTGCCTTGTCCAGAATTTCCAACTTTGGAGACAAGCCTAAGCCCTGTCTGCCAACCCCTGGGGACAGCATATGCTGGACCTTGACTCCGCCCTGTATAGGGGCCAAGCTCCTAGGATTGGTGGGATCTTGGGGAAAATCACCAAGGGCCAGGGCTGGGCTACAATGGGGGAAACTCGGGTCTCCTGGGGACAGGATGAGATCATGGAAAGGATGTGGAGTAACGGGCTGTGTCATTCATTCATTCAACAAACATTCACAGAGCCATGGTGGTGCGCCAGATTTGGGCTTAACTCTGGGGACAAAGATGAATCAGGCATGGTCCCACCCTCAAAAAACTTATATCCCACCCCATCAGGTGGCTCTTGAGAACATGTTCCAACAGTCAGCTCTGGGCTGTGCACAGGACAGGTTAACTGCAGTGGGAAGGGACTGAAGAACAGGTTTTTGAAGTTCTGCCACAAGTGGTGGTGGTTGGGTATATTTGAGAGGTGACATCCGTGCAGTCTCTGTTGTCCATGGGAGGATGGGGGCTTGATTAACAATGTCTAGTAGAGGCATAGTGCCAGCATGGAGAGAGGGCAAGCGGGGTGGGTGGGTTCCGTGGAAGGGTTGGGTAGAGACGTCCATGGGCCATTGGGCACCACTATGTCTCAAGTAGAGGGCAGTTCCAGAGTCAGCAATACTGTGGGTCATCAAACCTACCAGAGGTGAGGCTTGGTGGTAGCTGAGGTATGAGTAGGACAAAGAGGAAAGAGGCCAAGGGCAGCTTTCCAAGGCCCATGTGTGGACTGGGAGAAGAAAGCTCACCTAGAGCATCACCAGAAGAGAAAGACCATAATGAAAAATGCACAGGCCGGCAGGGGGCTTGGACACTGTAAAGTTGCAATTGTGGGTCTCATGAGACCAAACACCAGAAAGAGTGAATGTCAATACTAGCTGGGCATGTAGGACTCACATCACTGAGTTCTGGGTCCCTTCTGGGGCTGTACAAAGAGTAGGGGAGAAGTACCATTCTTCCAGCCCAGGAGGAAGAATGAGAGGGAAGAGTGTGGCTCAGAGGAGGAGAGGGTAGAAATTTAAACTTGACCTGTCCCTGCTTGCTTTCTCCTAATGTCCCTGGCCTGAGGAAAGCATGTCAGTTCAGAAAGCCTTAAGGCTAAGGGAGTGTCAGGGCTCTTCCGGCTTATGTGGGAAGCATCCAGTGCTCAGGGTTCAGCAGCATCTCTTGAGGTCCGCACCACTGATATCACATGGGGCACTCCGAACACCCCCAGTACAGCCTGGGGACACTCAGTGGATGTTACCTGCTTCTCCTGCGCATCGCAACACTTGGAATTTTCTCTAGCAGCTCTTGAGGCCTTCTAGGCAGATGTGGGGATCATAACTGAACCACCAGAGCTTGTATCTAGACCCAGTTCTTTGTGGAAACAGAGAAGGACTTATCTCATTGTCCAAAGTAGAGGCTGTGAGCTCCTGGCAGGGAGTCCTTCCTCCTGGGCACTGAAGGTTGCCTCCACTGCTCTCTTCCAGCCGGACGAAGGAGAGCCGAGGGAGAGGAGTGGCTCCAGCCTAGACAGGGACAGTTTTAGCTCCCTTATGATGGCATGCTGGCCAAGAGCTTTTACTCCTCCTGCGTGTCTGTGTCTTCAAGGTGCTCCCAGAGCAGGTCAGATAGGCACAGGCCTACTTGACATTTGGGGGACGAGGACACTGGTGACAGGAAAGACACTAGCTAGGATCACAGGCTGTATGAGTTGCCTTCTGTTGCTGTGATAAAAAAAAAAAAAAAAAAAAAACCACTCTGACTAAAAGTGGCTTAGGGGAGGGGAGGGTTTATTTTAGCTTACATTTCTAGGTCACAGTTCATCTCTCAGGAAAGATAGGGCAGGAACTTGAGGCAGGAACCTGGAGACAGGAACTGAAGGAGAGGCTGAGGAAGAATGCTCCTCACTGTCTCGCTCAGCTTGCTTTCTTATACAGCCCACAACCACACGCCCTGGGCTGGTACCACCCAACCACTCACAGTGGGCTGAGCCCTCCTATATCAGTCATTAATCAAAAAGAAAAGGGAAAGGGGCTGGAGAGATGGCTCAGAGGTTAAGAGCATTGCCTACTCTTCCAAAGGTCCTGAGTTCAATTCCCAGCAACCACATGGTGGCTCACAACCATCTGTAGTGGGGTCTGGTGCCCTCTTCTGGCATACACACAGACAGAATATTGTATACATAATAAATAAATAAATATTTAAAAAAAAGAAAAGGGAAAGAAAAAGCGCTGCAGACATGTGCAGGGGCCAATCCAATGGAAGCGATTTCTCTTTTGAGGTTCCTCTTCTCAGGTGACTCTGGTCTGTGTCAAATTACCAGAAGCTAACCGGAACACAGGATGAGTGAGAGACGCAGGGCTTGTCCTCAGCATGTGAGGTCAAAGCCAGATTCTGGGGTGCCTGTTCACACCTGTGCTTCTGTATGAAGACCCTGCTGGCTTCATTCCTGTCCTCCACCTAAAGCCCCTCCTTCTGTCTCCACCTCACTCCCTTCCTCACCTAGCAGCACTGCCTCCTGCAGGAAGTCTTCCCTGTCACCACACGAATATGGACACATCACACGTCTACACAACTTCCTCTGATGTCTTGTGCGTTGTAGGTAGTACCCAGATCACCAAAGCCAGATTCTGAGACAGAGGACCCAGAGTAGGACTCAGACTGTCAGTAACCATCCAGCATGGGATATGCCACGGTCAGTGCTCACTAAACCAATGACGTTAAGTGTACAGAAAGAGAGAGGAGTCAAGGAGAAAAAGAAGGATGAAAAAGGGGGAAAGAGGAGGGAAGTAAAAAGCAAAAAAAGGGGGAAGGGAAAGAAGCAAGGAAGGAAGAATAGAGAAAGAGAAACATCTTTTCACGGGGGTTTTAATGAAACAAAACTTTTCTCCATGGACCATGAACAACATGAGCCATGTTCACCATGCACTCCAACCTCTCCCTCTGACATAGAGAAGACCGAGACACTGGGAGGCGCCCTACGTGCCCAAGGATTCAGAGGAAGTATAGCAGATCCTGGACTTGAACCCTTAGCAAGCTTCCCTGTATGGGAATCATCCCAGTGATCTCCAGGTGGACCCACAGCAGCTCTGACTGACCAGCTAGGGAGACAGGCCCAACATGGGAAGGTGTGTCAAGCTCAGCGTGGCCCATCTGCTCCAGCCACTGCACAGGCCCTGCAAACCCTGTCTGTCTCAGGAGCATGTGTATTTCTGCAAGTTTGTCTACTGTGTTCTCGACCTCCCTGGGGCTGTCATCATGCTGACCCTCCTGCTTCTCACCTGTCACCACTCGTCACAGACAAGCAGAGTCAGGGGATGGTGATTAAACCCCCTGCTTCCCATGCCCGAGTTCTGAGCTAAATGTAAGCAGGGAGGCAATGATCCATGCAAGGCCATGAGGCAGACTTGCATGGGGAGATCCTAGAACACCCAGGAAGCATAGGCCAACCTAAACTGTTCATACAGCAAATGTAGGGAAACTGAGGCCAGGAGGCAGGGATCGAGGAGAGGACAGGGCCTATCCCAGGCAGTCTATGTCCACAGTCACTTGGCCTCCCCTGGGCTCTCCCTAACCAGAGCTAGAAAAGGTATAGACATCTTACCTGTGCCCTGGTGAGGGGAGGCCACTTCCTTCTGAGCCCTGGACTGAATTCTCTGTCTGTGTATTACGGTGTCTCATACAGAGCAGGAGAGACATAAATGCTTGCTGAGAGAATCAACAGTGGGCAGGAGGTGAGATGGACGTCAGACACACACACACACACACACACACACACACACACACACTTCTGAAGGCCATCTTACAAGAGTCATCCTGTGTGCACCTCCTCCAGGTCACTGTCAATATCTGCTGGGGTCTTGGATTCAGGAGAGTTTTGTGGCTTCCCTGGTACCTAGGCCATCATGGGTAGACGGTGAAGAAGTGAATCTAAATGCTTAGACCCACCAGCACATACTGAGCATGTGTAAGACCCTGGCCATGTGTTAGACTGTAGCAAGGTGGTTTCTGTCCCCTGGAGGGCTCTCAGAGCACTAAGGAAAGGAGACATGGGTTGCTGATGGAGTTCACAAAGAGGAGACATAGACTGTGGAGTTGGGGAGGGGGTGGTCTTAGAGCGAGGCCTTTCATGACGGTTGCAGGCTACCCACCCCAGATGGACTGGCACTGGGAGCAGCTTAGTGTCATTAGTGATGCAATAGGCCGCTGCACGCCAGCCCCTATTCTCTGTTCTCAGCCTCACAGACTGGGGAAGGTGATGTTAATCACTCCCACTTTACAGGTGAGGAAGCTGAGGAGCATGCAGAGGTGCAGCCTGTGAGCAGAACTGGGGTGTGAATACAGGCAGGGTCGACCAGGCTTACATATCTCTGCTGGGACACTAGCTGGATTTAAAGGAACCCTGTTACTAATGTATTCAGTGTCCCAATACCCATCCAAGAGACCCTTGAGGGACCCCACTGATATAATTCATTAGCCCAGACACAAACCAAAGGGATGGCCATCTATCCGCTGAATGCCAACCTGGCATGTGGCAGAGACCATGCTGCATCTTCTGTTCCAGGTCACTTTCTGGGGAACAACACTGTCATCGACGTCCTAAGACAGGCAGGACTGGAGGTGGACCACACACCTGCTGGGCAAGCCATCCACAGGTAAGCAATGCCTGTATCTGATCATAACTTTCCTGCCAGGATACTCTCACGTTGCCCACAGAGCCACTCTACTCCCTGTGTGGGTTCCTATTCTGCACACCCCACATACCATACCATCACCCTGGAAGTTTCCCTGGGGCAGGACCCCAGCTCTGCCTATCTCAGTATCTATAGCCACAGCATCAGGCAACAACCAGGCTCGAGATCTCCTAAAACCTGTCAGTCTCCTCAAACCCAGAGATTCGTGCTCCAGCCATTATGCGGGAGCCTTCTTACCAACCTACAAGGATAACCCCGTTGTGATTTCAGCCCCTGCCCTTATGGTTACAAGACCCAAAGACCTCAAAAGGCTTCCTTAGTCACAGACAAGTGGTTTTGGCTGCTCACTCTGTATGTTGCTAACTCATTGTCATAGCAGGAACTATGGGTATTCCTGATTTAGTTAGGGCATCTGAAAATATCATGAACTCACTTGCAGAAGGACACATTTGTAGGGCAGTCTGGCCCTGCGGCCTCCCTCGGATCCTAACTACTTCTTGTACCTACTCTAGGCACAGGGAACTCAAGGATGACTGAGACCTTGACCTCTGGAGAGAAAGCTTTCTTGGGTCCCCAGAGCATGGATTCCATATCATACCCACCTAGTTCCATGTGACTTCTATAGGAAGTTATGAACCTCAGTGTTGGGACTGCATCCCAGCCTCTCACTGCTTTCCTCAGGCTCAGCCAGAAGAAGTTTTGGAGGGAGCTAGGACAGGTACAATGAGGAAGAAGGGATGCAATGTAGCCTGGGAGTCAAGGCATTCCTCTAGTTCCCTCCTGTTCTCTGACTTCACCCTTCTCTCCACACCCCCAAGGACCTCTTCCTTGAAGCTCATTGTGTGTGGCCAGGCAGGGCAGGGGAGGCAGGCAGGCCCCTATTCATCTTGGAGCGCAGGCCTTAGAGGAGGAGATCCCTTCCTCTGCCCCCACCAGCTCTGCGCAGAGGATTCTCAGTCTTCGTCTTCTGTACAGGGGGATGAAGGAACTTGCAGGGCAGAGGGGGTGGGGAAGCTGAGGAGGCAACGACAATAAAAGCCATCCTTGGCCACAGGTGCTTCCTGTAGCTATCTTTTTGTCTGACTGTTTTGAATTATCTCCTCAACAGCTGCAGCATCTCCAATAGACTGGATCCTGGGAGTCTGGAGTTGCCATGGGGGCTGGGAGGGGATGAGCTGAGCCAATGGCCTTTTGCTCTTCAAAGAGAGAGAAACCCCTCACCCACTCAGTCTTGCAGTGTAAGGGTGGGATGGGAGGACAGGCTGCTTTCAGTCCTGGATACTACCTCCCTCACACGCTGTTGGCTTGGACACAATTCCTAAGACCACTTTTAACCCTCCAGGGCCAGATGTCCCCAAGGAACTCCTCTGGGGCCACAGTAAGCAAAGAATAAAAGAGAGAATGTCTGCAGGCTGAGAGGCATAGCCTACTTTAAGCACAAACTCCACAGACATGACTAAATGACCCTTGAGTGGCTACAGAGTCAAGTCCTTTTGTTCGGTGACCCACATCAGAGAGGTTTAGCAGGTATCAGCCATTGCGCCGAATGGTGGTGCTCATTCACCACCATGCATGCCATCCTGATGGAGTGGGTAGCAATATTCTTCCATCCCCTACCCAAGTGCTACCCATTCACAATGTGGACCATGAGTTATAAAGTGGGATGAGCACTGTATCAGCCTTCAGGCTGAGCTCTAGTGACAGCCCTGCCCTGCCCCCATTCAAAAGATGATCCATCCACATCCAATACAGCTTGAATAGCATCAACTCTTGAATGGCCTGGCCGCCTACCACTGCCAGGCACTGTTCTAAGCCCTTCACCTGTGAAATCACAATATCCTCGAGAAGGTGCAGGTCATCCTACCCCCAATTATACAGGATACTGAGATAGAGCAAAGTTAGATAACTCACCCAGAGACCCTCCGCCAGGGCTACTGCCGAGTGAACCCTTGATCAAGATCAGACAATAGGCATAGACCTCCTTGTCTAGCCGGCCCTCCAGCCCTGTGCTCTCACACCTGTCTCTGCCATCTGCTCATGCTCTCCTCCCCAGCAGTGTGGCCACCTGTGTGTTTTACTCTGTCGCCCACTTTAGGGTATGAACTGTAGCGGGGCGTCTGTTTGGGTCACTGCTGATACGTAATTTCTAGGGCACACTAGCTGCAGGGAGTTTGTGGACTAGAGGATGGAATAAAGAGTCAATGCTCTGTCTCTCTATAACAGACAACGGTTGCCCTGGGTCCCTCTAGCCTGTCCCAGCAGTGGTGTTTCCCTTGCTTGAAGACATCCCCTCTGCACTACCATCACTCACACACACACACACACACACACACACACACACCACACACACCGCACACACACACACCACACACACACACACACCACACACACACACACTGCACACACACACACACACACCGCACACACACACACACACACACCGCGCACACATACACACACACACACACACACACCGCGCACACATACACACACACACACACACACACACACACACGGTTTACTCACATTCTGTTTCACTTTGCAGCCCTGCTACTGGGAGCCCGGCTCCCTCTCCCGAGGGCACCTCTTCTGCCAGTCCAGCCCCAGCAACCCCAGCTGCTGCAGTGCTGGAAGCAACCTCAGCAACCCCCACCACCCCTCCAGAGGAGGAGGATCCAGTCCTGTCCCCACATCTCCTGCTCCCCGACAGCCTTAGCCAGCTGGAGGAGTTCGGACGGCAAAAGTGGCGCAAGAGACTAAACAAACAGCAGCGGCCGAGGCAGTTCAACGACCTCTGGGTCCGCATCGAGGACAGGTGAGCAGGGAAGGGACAGGCTGTCCAGGAGCTAGCTGTAGATCGCCAGTCTCCTTTAGGGCTAGTGCATTGCCCCAGACCCTGCAATGAGCAAGCAGGGACAGAGGTGTCAGACTGGAAGCTGAGAGGCAGGCTCTTCGCTGACCCTTGAGGATCTCCCTGGGCATATTTTGGGGTATGTAGAACACGTACACATCTGACTTGGGAGGTTTATTCTCAACATAACAACAAGTAGAATTCTCTGCTGTTTAAAAGTGGCAGGGGGCCTGAGATCCGGACGCAAGAGGATACCAAGTTTGAGGCCAGACTGGACAATTAGTAAGAGTCTGTCTCAAAATAAAAAGTAGAAAGAAGTCTGGGTATAGCATCAGGATAGAGTGCCTGCCTAGTATGCACAAGGCCCTGGCCTCAATCCTCAGTACAGCCAGTAACTAACAGACAGTTAATTAGTTAACATTAAAATGAAAATGTGGAAGCATCCTCCAAGGGCAGCGACGGAAGTCCACTGTGCCTGGTCTGCCCCTGATTCCTTTGTCCCATGGATGGGAGTGAAAGTGGGAGCAAACATGGCAGGATAAGCATATCAGAGGGTGACAAATACCTGTGCTGGGAATATTTGAGCAGTATTGCCATAGCGTGGAGACTCTGGAGGGGCCCCCGCCCTGTGAGAGAAAGGAACACCAGGCAGTAGATACTGTGGCTCCGAAGTGTTAACTGTTAGCCTTTCTGTAAACAGGCAGGTACAGAACACAGCCTAAGGTTCTGGCACTCTCCCCATCCTCCTTCCATTTGCTCCTCCTGTCACCAACACCTCCTGCCTCAGCCTGTGGCCAGAGCTCCTGTTGCTCCAAGATTCTGTCCAACACCCACACTCAGGTCCTCTCCTTTCCAGAGCAGTCTCCCTAAGTCAGCTGTGTGGCAGAAATCTCTGCAGATAGTGAATAGTGTCACTAAGGAATGTCTCAGGAATGGGCCAGAGCCCTCCCCCACTGTGGCAGCCCAGTCCTGGATCTGATGTTTAGACAGTGGAACATCAGAACCCAGAGTCCCAGTCTGGATCTTAATGCCATCCAGAATTTTCCTCTGCACCCTGAACAGAACCACCTTGGGTACTTGTTAAATAAGCAAATCTTCAGCCCCACACAGACCTCATGCAGGAGAGTCGGGATGGAGACCTGAGGTGTGTGCCCCAGGAGGTTCTAAGCAGCTCTAGGGAGTTCTGGCCCAACTGAGCATTCATGAATATGAACCATGGTGCGAAGCTGAAGGGCCTGTCCTGGGCCTCCCAGGGACTCAGAAGCTGACCAATGGTACCTTCCACTTCAGGGCTCTTCTGTGGCCTGGTGTCTGAGCTAGTAGTGATAAGAGATTGATGTAGTCCAGGCCTCGTCCCAAAGAGCATGACATGCACTATAGTGAAAAGACTTCTTCTAATGGGTAGCATCAAAGCCACTGAGCCCTTAGATGTTGGTGCCACAGCGCCTCCTCTGGGCTACCGAAGAGTGCACTTCTGCAGAGACAGCCCTGCCGCCTATAGCAGAGGCCTCACTGGGGCTTGCTTGGCTGAGACACACTAAGATTGGGTACCCAGCATTGGCTGCTCCGCCTAAGTGGGTGCGAGAGCCCAGAGTTTTGGAGAGCTGCATCGTCCTGGCATGCTTACAGGCTACCCGAGTCCACTCAGAGCTCTAAATAGCCTGCTCACTGGCCGTCCTGTTCAATAGAGGACTCCAACTCATGAATGGGGTAGCGGGAGGCTCGGCTGTCAGCTCCAGCAGCGAGCCGCCATCCCCTAACTGTGTCCGAAAGGGAAATGCCGACAAATGACACCTGACAGTTTCCATTTCACAACATGGACTCTGGAAGACAGAGCCTGGCCTCGGGGGGAAGAAGGCAGCTTTTCTTTGGCAGAGGGAAGGAAGCCCTTCTCCACCCCAGCAGGTAAAGCCGTGGTTAGCTGATGCACCTCCCTCTGCTCAGGCTGAAAGAGAATGTTCCACCAAAGAGCAGTTTATTAAAGTCCCTCATTGCTTCTTGAGAAAGTGGGTCTTGCACTCCCTGGGAAGTCTCAGTATTGGGTACAGGCTCTCATACTCAAAGGACTCATCCCACTCTTCCCAGAGTCCCCAAGTCTCCAGTTTTCTGAGGAGCAGAGGATCCGATGGAGCTCATTTGAAGCTCTTCTCAGAAACCAGTTTTCCTAGAGCCCTATTTGGTTCCACTTCTAGCTCAGCCCTCACACCCACCTGGGGCTGGCTCTCCACGTCCACCCCTGCTTGCCCGTCTGCCACCTACACTCCTACAGCAGGGCCCCTGAGGGTCTTCCGCTCTTTGGTTTTGCCTGTCTCGGGGTGCTCACCTTCTTCTCTGCCTTCCGGCTCCACTGGGTCCTCTCTAGGCTATGTGCCACCATGGGCTATACCCTGCTCCCCCATGCTATTGTACTTGCTTCTCTCTGCTTAGGGTGGCGTGCCAGTGAGCCTTTGTGAAGCTCCTCCTGTGCCAGGCACTTATATCTGTCACTTTATAGTCCTATCAGGAGTCACAGAAAGTAGGCCTATTTTACAGGGAAGGAATCAGAGTCATCCAGATCAGTGAACTTGCTGAGGGATGGAGACTCGGAACTGTCACCCAACTCTAAGGTTCTTATTTGCCACCCACTATCTCAGGGCTTTTCCCATCCTCACCTGGCTTAGCTCTCCTCTCTGCCCTAGCCACCTATGGGACTGTTGCCCACACTACATTTCTTTGTTTCTAGGCTGGGGAATCCTGGGCACAGATCTGGTTTGGGCGGCTCCAGGTCACCCAAGGCCTCACTAGGTGGGAAGGGTCTTTTACTGTATGCTTGAGCCTGAGGAGAAGGGAACCAGGGATGCAGGCTCTGAGTGCCTGCCTGGGACACCACCTGGAGCAGGCTGGCCTCTCTTTGCCCCTCATTACCCCAAGATGTAAACACAGCGGAGGAAGTTTAGAGTAGCAGCAGCCTGTGGCAGGATGATTTATGGGGACCCGTGGAAAGGGCTGAGTGTGTCCACAGATGGATGCATGGCAGAGGAGCATTCTCAGGAATCCCTTACCTCTGAGCACAGATAGACACAGCAGAGGAAGGTGTGACCATGGCGAGCCAGGACCCATAAAACATGGGTCTGTGGCAATCCTAAAGTGCCTCCTGTTCCATTAGGGCCTTGGCTGATTCCTGGAAATTATGCCGGCTCTCATTCTTCGTGTCCTCAAGTCTGCAAGCATTGTGTGCGCACACATGCATGCATGTGTGCATGTGTGTGTGTGTGTATGCATGTGTGTAAGAGAGAGAGATGGAGGCACAGTGACTGGCACATCTGGGCTGGTAGCATGTTGAGGACTCACAGGTGTAGAAGAGAGAGTACCTTCCAACTGCTAGGCATTGGCCAAAGCCTGGCCCAGAGGTGAGCATCAGTATGTGGTAGACACAGAGCCTTGGTGAGTGCCGCTGGACAAGTACAGGCCACACCCAGTGACCGTGTCAAAGCCCTCAGAGATGGGAGGGAACACAGTGTGCCTCCTGTCAGCTGACCTTCATGCTCAAGGTGTTCCTCTCATTCCTCGCAATGTGGGGTGGTCAAGGGTAGCCAAAATGTCCCTGTCAGGCCAGAACCCTACCTGAAGTGGGTGGTGCCCCATGAGGATTGGAAAATGAAGTCATCCAATCAAAAGAAAAGAAACACTGAAAGAATCAGACAGAGTGGTGTTGCAATCCCACCCCACAGGACTTTGACAGTAAGAAGATGCCTGTAAAGCCAACATCAGCCCCACTGTGATCCTGAAGTGGCTGCTGCTAATGTTACTTTCAGAGTCTCTGGTTCGCGGTGTCTTGGGCTCAGTCTCCCCAGAATGCTGCTTCTTGAGACCTTCAGTATGTCTTAGACTTAAAGCCAATAGATGGGGGCTGAGGAACACCACCCCCAGTTTAGCAAGTACATGTTGGATACATGCCTGTCACCCATTACTGCGGATTAGTGCTGGTACCAGACAGTGACATATGGCTCCCAAGATAGTGTCCTGAAGTCTCAGCTCTATAGGACCCTGGCAATTCCCTTCCATGGACCCATTTTTCACCTTGGGATGGAAAGTTGCTTCCACTTCTGACCCACTGTGAAGCTATTAGAACGCATCAAATGGTTAGCCCACAGTCTGCAAGGTTGAGGGAGGGTAGTGGCATTCCTGGGGAAGGAGTCATGGCACAAGATGTGAAGGTTGATAGGCTCCAGGTACTGGGTGGAGGCAGGGGAAAGCAGGCCAGCTGAGCAAGCTGAGTCTTTGCCTACATCTGATTTCTTGGCCCAAAGAGGCCAAAATCCAGTTGGGAATCACAAGTTCTCCTCCAGTGATGATATGGAGGAGGATCCTGTCTTCCAAGCCCTGCGTTCTCTAAGGCTGGTGCCCCTGCATCTCTCTGAAGGTCTCTAAAGAAGTAAATGGAGGCTGCTCCACTTCACCAACCCCCACCCCCACCACTCTCTGTGACTCCATTCAAGCAATAAAAAAACTCTAGGCTTTGGCAAGGAACTTTCATCTTTGGTTTTATTCAAAGAGCAAAAAGAACACTTGTGTCCCTAATTAGACACCAGCTCCTCACATTAACAGTAATATTAATATCAGAGATGCCCAGTGCTGAGCCTTGGCGAGCTCCTAGAGGCCTCTGGTGCCAGAATTCATCCCTGTTCCAGGGAACCCCCAGAAAGGGGTGGCAACTGACACGGTGCCTGGCACCCGCCTCACTTGTCTGTGCTTTCCCTCGAATTTCTGCCTGTGATCTTACTTCTGGCTTTTGCATCAGGAAAGCAGTTCAAAGTCCCTGACCCATCCTTGCCCTTCCTTTGTAGAGATTGGGAAACTGAGGCCTAGAAAACAGTGTTGACGCAGATTTACAGATCAAGCCAAGGAGGTAACGCAGACTTGTACAGAGCTCTGTCTTTCCAGCCAGCCAGAGGGGCCTTCCCACACTTGGGGGTCCTGTCAGCTCAGAGCAGACATAGCCCCCCAGTGCCCGCCATCTGCAGGGCCTGGGAATGTGCAGTGTGTTTGGTTTGGCCTCAAGACCGTTGTGCCATGAGACAATTTTCCCCAACATAAGCCTGGAAGGGGGTGGGTCCTGGACTGGGGACCAGCTTTGTGAGCTGAGTAAGCTAGGGAAGAAGGAGGGAGCTTGTACTCAAAGGGGCTCGTCCCCCTCCCCGGTCCCACTTCATTTTCCTGGGACTCTTTCCAAGCAATAAAAACACCACTTGGGCTCCAAGGGAGAGTTTTCATCTTTATTTTTCAAAGTGTGAAAGAAAATGCCTATAGGTGTCTTGTGAGACGTAATTCCCATTTGGTCTTGCCACTCTAGGACAGCCTGAGCCCTGGCTCCGGCCACCTCACAGGGCATCTAGCCCACTGCCCTGAAGCTAGCCCTCAGAGCCTCCCCACTACCCAGGCTGGGCCACACAGCAGCAGCTAGGCGTGGACTTTTATGGGTGTGTGTGTGTGTGTGTGTGTGTGTGTGTGTGTGTGTGTTGCTTGCAGTTCTCTTTTTCATTAGACAAGAAAGGGAGGGTAGAGGCTGAGGTAATGACCTCTGCTAGGCACAGGCATTAATCTCCTCCAGGGGCTGCAGCCAACAAGGCCTCAATCTGACCCTGGAACCTGCACATCACTGTTCAGGGTCTCACCAGGAAATAGCGCACATCCCTAATGCTCACCATCCATGCTACAGAAACAGATGGCCCCAGTGCATCTCACCTTGCTGAGAATCCTCATCTCCTTCGAGCTCAGCAGAAACAGTAATGTGACATAGCTGTAGCACTGAGCATGGTGACTGCCTGTACTCAGAAGCACATTGTAAGTCAGCCATGTTATTAGCAGGAGAGGCAGAGGCACAAAACTATTAATGATAATTTAACAAACAAAACAGCAAAGCCTTCCTATGCTCCCCAGGGCCAGGCGCTGTTCTAAGACTCCTCAGTAGAAACCTGGTCTTCAAGCCTCCTATAACATATGTCCCACTATGACAGTGAGGTCAGTGGGAAGTAGAGAGTGTTTTATGTGAGCCTTAACTTTCCGAGGTAGCAGACGAGTCTCTAGAGGCGAGTGAGACAGTAAGAGCAAGACAGTGGACATGATGGACATGAGGCAGAGGTAGAACAGCCCAGTATAGTGGGATGGGGACAGGACCCATGGGGTTGAAAGCCAGCATGGCAGGAAACTGAACCCACTGGGTTCTGTGAGCTAAAATGTGCAGAGGAAACCCTCTGGCTCGCCCGATTTGCATACACATTCTGTAGGAGTGCCTGCCTGCCTGCTCTGAGAGAGACAATAGTCTTTCCTCTCCTGCCCCATGGGTGTGCAAACCTGCTTTGCCCCAGAACCTGACTACCAGTAGCCTCTTTGAGGTCCACCATTACTGAAAGGGGTGGGTAAGACCCATTCTGAAGGCTTATTGTGATGGTGGGAATCATGTTTGAACAGGTGGCATGGGGGAAGCTCCAGCCAAGGCGGTTAGGATGATGTGGGGAAAATTAAGGCATGTGTGTGTGCGTGCGTGCGTGCGTACACGTGCTCTGCTACCTTCAGCAACCTTGGAAGGAGCAACCAGAGGCAGAACACCTATAGACAGGTGGAATCTATACTCTGGGAACCTCAGAGCTTCTGCCTTCATGACTTTGCAATTTTTTCTGCCTGGGAGCCTCCCCCATGATCGATCACTGGTGAACCCAGCCTGTCCTTGGAGGTCAGCTGAGCTGGGGGTGGGATTCTAGACTATTCCTCTTCCCTACGATATCTAGTAAGGATAGAGCTGAACGCCAAGCTCTCTTCCTAGGAGGAGGCTGCTGATGGTCTCTGTTTCCTCTTTCCAGCACCACTGCCTCACCACCCCCGCTGCCTCTCCAGCCTACTCCCAGCTCTGGGACCACCAAACCTTTTGTCAAGTTCTCACACCAACTCCAACAGCAGGACGTTGCGGGGCCTACCAGCAACTCAGCACCTACACTGGGCCTCCCTGCTGCTGTCGCTGCCACCATCGTCGCCCCCTTCCTACTACACACCCTTGGGCCTTCCTGACCTTGACACCCTGCAGAGCAGTCAGAGAAGGCACAGAAATCTGTGACCGCGCCCACCGTCTGACGCCACCTCAGAGGGTACTGACACCTCAAGGCAGTTCACACAGGACAGGGACCTTAAAACACCAGAGCTTTATTGTACCCAAATTACATCTTCTTTTTTGTAGAAGGTCTTAATTTCCCATAGTGCTATGGGGCCCTTTTGTAAAATATGTGTCCATATTAAAAGAGAAAATGTATTTATTCTATCGATAAAACTATTTTTATGTAGCCTATGTTATAGTCCCTGAATTAGCCCCAACACCAACCCAGGGAAGGAGCCCAGGTTCCCATGACCTCTGTGACCTGTGTGGACTGTGGCTTTGAGTTGGCCCCAAGCCTCCTAGTCAGGCTTGGCTTCTCACACTGTAGGTACCTCTGAGGGCAAGCAGAAAGGCAGCCCCAGCTTTTGTGAAGCTGAATTTCATAGCCAGAGGCATGGTGGCCAGCCCATCCTCCTCATCCCTGGATGTACCCAGGCCCTGGAGGGACAATTTAAGGGGGAAAAAATGCTGCTATTTTGAGGTCCTGAGTGTCTGTGGACTGGCCTTCCAGAGCTCCTGGAGAGGGTTTTTCCATCTAAGTGGAAGACTGGTGCTGAGGCAGGTGAACCCAGTCCCATGGTCATTTTGCTACACTGAGACCCAAAAAGTGAATGGGATTTACCCAAAGTCTCGAAGCAAGTGGGCGATCTGTGTTCCAGTGGCACTGGCCCAGCTTTCATTTCATAGAAGCTGGTAAAACCACAGCTGAGTGAAGTAAGCAGAAGGACAGGAGTGGGCACAGGACGGTTTCAGGAGTGATGGAGTTCAGGAGCCATCAGTTGTGGTACTGATGATGGTAACAGAGGACCATGGACCAGAAGCCTGCAGCAGGGTGGGCTCTCTGCACTCTCCCTTCTTCATAGATCCTCACACTAATGCTGTGAGATGTGATTACCCTCATTTCATTGATGACACTGAACCCCCAAAAGAGTGAGAAAGATCCTCCCAAGTTTACACACACAAACACACACACACCCAGATCAGTGTGATACAAAAACTACCCTTGTCTCATGGACCGTGTTCTGCTCCTGTTCTGTCTGGAGAAGCACCAAGGGAGGCAGATCTCCCTAACTGGAGCCCTCCCAGGCTTCCTATAGCAGGCGAGGAGGCTGTTTCACCAGCTCCTCCTGCTGGTTCCTGCAGCCAGGGGGCTCTAGCAGGATCTGGGCAGGCAGGGAGTTGAGACACAGGCTTACCCTTCTATCCCCAGGGGCTGACCAGGGACACAGTGAACCAATGTGGACTGAATTTCAGCCTGCAGCTCAAAGCTGGGCTTGTGGCTCATTAATTATTTAATTATGAGAGCAGGAAAGACCCCTCACCTGTCAATAAAGTAAGAGTAATACTAAGGTTCAGATAGAGGAGAGACTTCTCCAAGATGCCATAGCTGGCGCAGGCATGTTGACTCCAGTCCTGTTCTCTCACCCCGCTGCACATGGGTTTCCCTGGCAGCCTTGATGGCGCCTGGTTGGCTGCAACACTGCCATGCTAATGTTGGCAGACTTATCCCTTCTGAGATGGCAGGATTCTGGGCAACTCATTGGGTAGTCAGGGGTCCCACAGGCATGCTGGCAGGCGGCAGAATTCTTTCCAGCTCTGCCCCAGTGGACAGGTTTAAGCCTGAGACCTGGCAGGATTCTGGAACTCCGCTTCACAGGGTCCCGCCAGCCCCATGGGCACCACACTGTAAACTGAACTTGACCTCCACCAGGACTGGAGTCAGTTTATCCTTGGGAAAAAAAAATGTAACTTCCTATTGCTGAGCGGGAAGGGGCTTAGCTGACTTTTAAAGCAGGCTCAGAAGTTAGACTTCAAACAGATCGTGCAGAGCACTATTGGGATGAGATAAGTGTAAAGGAATTGGAAACACACAGGCCAGATTCCCCTGTTTGGGGCAGAGTATGGCATGAAATGTATGGAGATCAAACTTGAGGTTAATTAAAGATGAAACTTTTGGGGAAACAGTCCAGGCACCTGACTGTGTGCCCAGACCTGTGCCAGGCGTGGGGCCAAAATGGTGAATTAATGCAGCATATAATCACTGCGAAAGCACGGTGCCAGGTTACACATACAGGCTGAATTGTACCCACCCTCCTGGGCCCAGAAGAGTTCACCATCAGGATGGGATAGAGGAGCCATCCTGGGCTACTGCTGCCCCAGCCCCAGTGTCAGCCCACTGTCCTTCCAGATCCCTTCTTAAGGAAGATGAGGAGTGAAGGAAGTGTTCCAAACTGTCTTCCTCAGCCAGACTTTAAAAGTTTTAAAGAAAGGCAATGTGCCATGCTTAGGGGCACATGTCTGTAATGACTGTTCTTGGGAGGCTGAGGCAGGAGCATCGTAAGTTTGAGGACCAACCTGGGATACATAGACCTAGAAGAGAGAACAATTATTGGTCAGACATCTAAGAGCAACGGTGCTTGTTCCCTGGAGATCTCTAATAAGCCAGGGTTTGAGTAAGTAGCAAACTCAACTTGTTGGCCTACATCCCAGGAGGCCTCAGGCACAAAAATAAAATGTATTGCTAGGCCACTTCAACTTCGTGTCCTGCTCTGAAAACACCAGTAATCCATCAGCCGTTTCTCAGACTTCATGTTCTGTCTAGCTGGACTCATAAACACAAAGCTTCATTCCTTTGGGCGTTCCTTGAGTATTTTTAGAACTTTCTCTTTGACTTTGAGGCAGACAGAATGATGGAAGGCCAGAGGCCCAGAAGATTAAGTGACCGGGACATGGTGAGGGGAAAAGAATCAGGGAGGTGCAGGGGCCAGTCCTCAGGGTCAGAGATCCAGAGTCTGCCATGTGTGGACAGCAATGGCTCAGAACATTCATCTCACATGGGAAGACCCCCACGTACATCCTCTCCACATGCAGTGTGGTCACTTGCTACTTCCTGGCCTCATCTAGACTTGGGCAAGCCTGGGAGCTCAGGTGCTTTGTCCCACCACTCAGCCAAGTACTCTTATCACAACAGATCCCAAAGAAGAGAACTGCTACCAAAAGAGAATTTCTTTGAAAAGATGATATTCTATGCAGGATTTGTAGCGTAAATGACATCCTGGGTGTTAAAAAACAGAATTGGGGTAATGATAACCATGAGATAAACACCAGGTCCTTCACTTGGCATTCCAAATCCTCCATGACCCGGCTCAGCTGACCTTGCTGGCCATTCTCATCCTTCCCACCCCAGATCTGACAGATGGAATCATATTTGTTATTTCTAGAATATACACAGTGTTTTATACATGTTACTACCCTGGGGAAGCTCTCTTCCCTTCTCCCAATCATGTATCCTGTGAAGATAATTGGGAGGGGGCATTAGCTTCAGGATGTCCCCCTAGAGCCCTTTGTGTGCCCTGGGACCCGTTACCATGCCCACATTCCAGAGCTGGGGCTGTCTAGATAGGAATTGCTCCCGGTTGGGAAAGCAAGCAATTCAATGGAGTAGGTCATGTGTCATTTTTCTATATGTCCTTCAACACAAAAGTGATACTCCTTAGATGCACTGAGAGGGACAAAGGAGGAAAGGAAGCAGACAAAGGAGGAAGAAAGTCTGGAGCTAGGAAAGGGGAAAGACAGCCTTAGCTTTCTTTTTTGGGACAACTTCCACTTCCCCAGCTGGTAAAGGACAGCACCTGAGGGCAGAGGTCTCTGGCTGGATGGAGAGGCAGAGTATGCAAGGCCCCAAGGCCCACTGGCTGAAGCTGTGGTAGCCAGCTGGAAGTCTTGGCACAGGACTGATGTCAATGACATGGAGGTGCCCCCTGGCTCTGTAAGGCTCAGGTTCTTTAAACATTGCTATTTTTCCAAAAATTCATCTAAGCAGCCAAAAATATCACCCTGGCTGGCTGTCTAAGCCGGTAGATTCAGGACTCAGACAAGCCTCCCTAGCCACCCTCCCCCCATTCTTCCACAGCCCTGCCAGACTTGCCATGAGATGGCAGAAATGCCTGCAGCTCTTGGGCAGGAGATGTCATGGGGAGGAGAGGCTAGATTGAAACCCTGCCCATGGCTCCAGCCCAGAGCCCTTCTGTCTGTGCCCAACCCTGGGGAAGGAAAGACGGGGCTTATAAGGACCCTTGGGAATGTCAGCTCCTCACAGCCTGTCTCCAAAGGCAGATTGGGATCCCCCACCCCCACCCATCCCTTTGCTTGATGGCCTTGGGTAAGCCCTTGCCCCTCTTTAAGCTCCATTTCCTCTTGGACCATAGGGAGAGTTTCCTGAAGCCAGGAGGGGAATTCTGTGTATAATGTTGGGTCTCCTTGAAGGTGGGGTTCCACCCTTCTTTAGCCCAGCCTCCCATGTTGGCCCCGCAGGCGGCCATGATGAGAGCATGTGACAGACTAGAAAGCTTTACTTAAAGGCTCCTTCCGTCCTAAGACCTGTCCTGGGGAATGTGGTTTTGAACAGGATCCAAGTCTACGCTGCCTGGTGTGAGAGACCAGGGACTCTTAGGCAGGAGTCTCCCCGGTTGCCAGGCTGGGTGGGCAGAGCACTTGGCTCCAGGCGGGGAAGCTGGCCTTAGGCTTTGCCCAGCTCTAAGTCTCGAAGTCTCAGATTTGTTGGCTCTCCCAGTGTGCCTCACTGTACCAAGCTGGCTTCAGCTCTCCCAGTGTTTGTGCTGTTCTTCATCACCTCTTCCCTCACCCCTGTGAATTGTCATGAAGAGTTCTTTAAGAGTATAATAGAAGACAAAGAAAGATGCTATTAATGTTATTTTGCCAAAAATATTTTTGTAGCATAATATATTAATAAAAGATATTATGAACTTAACCTTGGTGTATCCATGTGCTGAACTTCAATCCCCTTCTCCTTCTGCAGGAATCTTTGGGGGAATTGCCTGGCTTGTGAGAGCCGGGACCTGTAACAGTGTGGCATAGACAATGGGAATGGCCTCATTTCCTATGCATAGATTTGGGTCTGGGCTGAGAAGGTGGCTTCAGCAAGGACCTTGTGGGTGCAGGGCCCAGCACTGGGAAGTGTGTATGACCCTTGCCAAGCAAAGGGAGCTGCCCATGTTTGGAGCAAGAGTTGTGCAGCTGTGTTACATACCACCAAGGCCTGGGCTTTGCTGGAGGAGCTCCCTTCTCACCGGAGATGTCACCACTTTGTGTCACTTCCGTCTCTGTGGTTTTCCTTGGCTCGGGCCTACTGGGAAATGTCTGCCAGTCACATCTATGTCCCTCTAACCTATTATCTCCCCTGCAGCTAAAGTGAGTTCTGCAAACCACAAAAATGACCATGTCTTTCCCTCCCTTGAAGACTCTAAAGTGCCTCCCCAGTACTGCTGGCAAAAGACATCCAAGCCCTCTACGATCCAGTCCCTTCTTATGTTTCCAGCCAGAAAACCATCTCTCCCTGTGGTCCCTCTCCTAGGATACAACACTCTATAGTCATTGCCTGTGCCCTCTGCTTCTTGGCTTTGTCTAGCTTGTCTTAGCACATGTTGTTGCCAGTGCTGCCAGGCTCCCTGCGTCTCCGTGTCTCACACAATGATCCTTGGTCCCCTGTGCATCCTACATGCCCCAGCTCCAGCAGTCCCTTCTCCAAGAAACCTTCTAACCCCCCATACCTAACTGGTCACGTGTACCCTGTGGAACGATGAGGTCATTAGCATGCTCTCTTCCTCTTGGCTCCAGGACAGTACGCCTGTGTCACCTCCAAGCACAGTGACTGATGGCCACCACATAGCTACAGTCTGTAGTGAGTGCTTGGGGAAGAATGATGGAGTCCATGGAAAAGGAAAGAATGAAGGGGAGGTGGGTATCAAACAAGACACATGGAACATATGGAAGCATCAAGTGTCAGCTCCTGGGACCTGAGTTTCCCCAGGAATATCCCCAGAACTTGGACATAAAAGAGATGTCCGCTGAAATATTGGAAGTCGTGGGCTGCAGAGATAACTCAGTCAGTGAAGTGCTTGCCATGCAAGTATGAGGACCTAAGTCCAACCACTAGAGCCTGTGTTTTGTTAAAAAGAGAAAAAGAAAAAAGCCAGGCATGGGGGTGCAGATTTGTGATCCCAGTGGCGAGGAGGTGGAGACCGGCAGGTCCCTGGGCTCACTGGTCAGCCAGGACAGCCTACTTATGGAGCTGTGGAACAATAGACACTGTCATGGTAGGCCCATTTCTAGGCACAGGTGTTAATGTTGTGACTGCTGGCTAACATTTATGGAGAATTTGTGGTATATCAGAAAATGTTCAACTCATTTGATTCTAGAATCTTTTCAGAACTTCTACACATCAGTTCCATTTTTAAAATGAAATAACTGAGCTACAGAGATGTTAAGTAACACGACTGTGATCCCATAGGGAGTGTATCAGGCCTACAGAGATGTTCACACAACTGTGATTCCCATAGTGAGTGTGTCAGGGCCAGAACCCACAGCCATGACCGAGGCTAACCTCATTCTACTATTCTGGAGATGGGGGACTGTGGCTACGAAATGGGCAGGGAAAGTGTTGGCATCCACAGCCTACAGAACAGGTGGGTAAGGTTAGGATTCCACGAGGTCAGATGGGTCCTAGAACCCACCCAGGACTTCGTTGTATCTGACAACTGCATGAAGGAACTCCAGGGAGATAGTCGTGCCCTGTTCCAGCTCCGGTCAGGGCCTTCTGTGATGACATCAATGGTGTAAGGGTTCCTATGATGAACCCAACCCTGTGCTTTGTGCTTTCTCTCTTTCCCTCTCTCTCTTCCTCCTTCTCTCCTTCTCCCTCCTTTCATCCCTCCCTCTCTGGGAGCCTTGTTCCTCAATTCAGGTACTCCCTGAAGAAAGCTGTGGCCCAGAAATGGGACACGATAGAACAGGTGACTAAGAATAAAAGTGTTGAAGGAAGGCTGCTTGGCTGTTTGTTGGTTCCCTGGCCACCCAGACCCCGGAAATAATCACACAATCAATTAGTCATGGCCAAGTAGCAAGCACTGGGACAGGGAGGAGTTGGGAAGGGCTGGGGATGCCAGCTGCTACAGGATAGGAACAGCCAGGCCATGTCTGGCCTGTGAGTAGACAGGACAAAAGGTTGGGTCTTCCAGGCCAGTGAGCTATGGGAGACAGGAGGCTTCAGGCTGTGCCGAGTCCAGCTAGAACCCCTCCTCCCTCTGTCCTGGAGATGCTAGTACAGGGCAAAAGTCAAGCAGAATGGGTAGGATGGGCACAGGGTATAACTCCAGTTGCTATCCCCACAGCTGTTGACCCAGGTGAGCAGACAGGTCACTCCTAGAACACTTTAATTAGGATTATTTTAAGAAATTCCTTTTTTATGTTGGTTGGTCCTGGGCTTGGGAAGCAGTTCCTCTGCACCTCCCTCATTTGTGTATGTAGAATAGTGTGTGTGTGTGTGTGTGTGTGTGTGTGTGTGTGTGATATGTGTGTACTATGATGTATTTGAGTACTGTGGTGTGTGGGTGTAGTGTAGTGTTTGTGTGTGATGTGTCTGTGTGTGTGTGATGTGTGTATATCTTTTTAGATTTTTTCAATTCTTTCTCCCTATCAATTACAACTAAAGAAGAATAACACTTCTAACCTGAAGAGCAATTCCCAACAAGGAAAACTGGAGCATCATGGGGTCTCCTGATGTACCTTCCTGGCTTCCATTCACCTCCCATCTCTTTGTAATGGTGGCAGGGGATGATTGGTCCTGCCACACAAGCAGGACCTTGACCAAGGACCAGGGAAGAGAATGCATGAGATCAGAAAAGCAGAAAAAAAAAACATGTGTAGGGAAAGGTGGAGAGGAAGCAAGATATGGAACTAGGGTGCTGGGAGGTGGGGGAGGAGCAGTGGAAAGGGCCAGGGTTGAGAAGACAGAAAGAAATGAACCTACATGAAGGTTGAATCAGGAGACTGCACCACTGCAGTCTGAAGGAAGAGTAGAGTGGAACAGGGTCTCTGTGGCATGGGGAAGGTCACCATGGGGAATGTGTCACCATGGGGAATGTGTCACCATGGGGAATGTGTCACCAGGAGGAATGTCACCATGGGGAATGTGTCACCATGGGGAATGTCACCAGGAGGAATGTCACCATGGGGAATGTCACCATGAGGAATGTCACCACGGGAAATGTGTCACCATGGGGAATGTCACCAGGAGGAATGTCACCACGGGAAATGTGTCACCACGGGGAATGTGTCACCACGGGGAATGTGTCACCATGGGGAATGTGTCACCATGGGGAATGTGTTACCATGGGGAATGTGTCACCATGGGGAATGTAACCATGAGGAATGTCACCACGAGGAATATCACCACGAGGAATGTCACCACGGGGAATGTCACCATGGGGAATGTCACCAGGAGGAATGTCACCACGGGGAATATGTCACCATGAGGAATGTGTTACCATGAGGAATGTGTCATGATGGGGAATGTGTCACCATGGGAAATGTCACCATAGGGAATGTGTCACCATGGGGAATGTCACCACGGGGAATGTCACCATGGACTCTGCAAACTCAGCATGCATTGGTGCTTTACAAGAAGCCCAGCCATGGGCCTGGAGACAGCACTTTTCAGACAGAAGCCTCCTTTACCTAGGATGACTTGAAAAAAATCACACCCAGGAACAGCCTGACTTCCTAAACTTGATAGGACAGCTACTCCCTTTAGTCCATCCTAAGATCCTCCAGGCTCGTTCAGTCCTAGGCTCATCAACAAGGGTCCTGCTGGGCCTGGGGACTGGACTTCAACTTCCCTTCTCTCAGCCTCATTTTCCCTAGTTCTGTAATGGAATAATAAGAGTACTTCAGTGGTGAGCATTTAGTGAGATGGTGGGTGGGAAAACACCTTGGAAACAGGCTCACAGGATGAGTTAGCCTATGGGCACCACACACAGCCAGAGGTCAAGAAGCAGCTGAGGCTGAGGCTTCTGGAATATTCTGCATTCAGAGCACAGGGTTGCCAGTAGCAACAGAGGCTATGCCACTGTAGCTGAGCCAGAGGTTCTGGGACACTACTCTGTGACTAGCCGGAGGCCACAGCAGCTTTAGAACAGAGGAGTGGCATAGTACGGAGTAAATCTGATACCTGGGGCCAGTCTCATCCTTTTACTGAGCCTCAATGTTCACACCCTTACAATGGGAAAATATAGCCCGAGCCCAGAGTTACCCGGAAAGTGGAGAGGGTACAGTTATGCTTTGGAGAGATGAGAAATGAAGACCAATACTGCTGGTATCAGGATGAGGGGGAGGAAAGGAGTAAAGGGTATTGACTGGGCTTCCTACCTTAGGCCTGGACACAGAAACAGAATGACTCACTGGCTCCCATATCCCAGAGACCCTTCTACTGCCCCACTGGGATCCCATAGAGGAATGGATTCTCCCGAGCCCTTTTACCTCCTTTTTCTCTGGATCACCCACATCAGTTACACCCCAGAGGCATAGGAGTTAGGGGCGGAGTTTAGGCTTGGAAGATGGTCCCCTCATCCAGCAGCTGCCACCAGAGGGCAACACTACTCAGGCTGTGACCTTGAGACCTGAAGGAGCAAGACTGGAACGATGGGTGTGGAGAGGCAGCCTGGCTCTGGCCCCTCATTGCACAGAGAAGGGCCAATGAAGAAGAAGCTTACCTGTGGACTCTGGACATTTGAGGTGTTGGCAGGAGTTCCAAAACCCTTGGGCTCATCTTCAAGCCTTGGCATACTGTGGCTTACCTGGATACAGAGCACTGGTCCAAGTTCCCCTCTTCTCAGTTACACAAACCACCTGCTCCCCAGAACCTGAGACAGTGGAACACCAAGCCCCATTCTGAGATCTGGGAACATATAGATATGTTCAGAGAAAATCATTCACCCCACAGAGACTGTGTGTGGTGACACCACTGTGCTCCCAGTCAAAGAATTCCATAACTTGTATTCCCAAAGACTGCAGATGAGTCTGGGAGCAGGCAGCGCTGAGCGAGGCATCTCCTGCGAGTACCTGCAAGTACCTCCGGCCTCAAGGACTGCCTGGTCCTCATGGAGCAGGAACACTATGGGGCAAGCACTTGCATCCTCTGCCTCCTTGCTGTCTACCTCCCCACAGGTCACTCCCTAGCCCTCTACAAATTGAGTCAGGCAAAGTCTCCAACCATGTGTCCCACCTCTTCCTGAAAACCAGACTCCAAACTCCAGACACTCAGAGCTACTGGGGTCTTAATGAGCATGCTTCTGGTTTCCCAGCTCCATCTCCCAGTCCCACTGTCCCCTCCAGCTTGTTGCCCATTCTCCCTATTCACAAGGGAATGTTTTCTTCCTATTGTTCAAAGGCCTAGCCAAATTTCTACTTCCTTGTAAGCCTGTCCTGCCCCCACCCTCACACTAACAGCTCTTCTGAAGCTCCAGAATGTTCTGCACATCCAGTCTCAGGATATGGCTTTCTGTACATCTAACTATTAAAATGTTGATTTTTTTTAAGGCAAAGCCCAGGCCCTATTCATATTTGCATTCCCTTAGTGACAAGAGAATCACAGAGAACAAGTTTATCTTATCAGTGTTAAACCTGAGATGAGGCACAGTCCCCTATGTGTGTTCAGTTATGTTCACCAAAAGCAAAGCGGTGGCTGGAGTTGTAGATCAGTAGTAAAGCACTGTGCCAAGACGCTGGTTCCAGCCCATGGAAAATAAGCAAATAAATAGCAATACAAGAAATAATGGAGGCGGCCACCCATCTTTATCTGCGAGTTAGCTTCTAAATATGTTTTTCCCCTGGGGTTGCACCTCTACCCACTGGTACCAGGGGTATAGGGATTTGGAACATATAGTTGCTGGGGGCACAGGGGTTGTGGCTGTGGATCAACTGTACTTGGTACCTTGTAGAAAGATTCGTGTAAAACAAAATTGCTGCACAATTTCAGCACCCCACCACCACCCCAACCCTGCCATCCAGCCTTGACAAATGTTCTTAGGGAAGTCCGTTTGTAATTATCTGAGCCTAGAACCTAAATCCACTTCATATAAACACCAAGTATGTGTTTGCTAAGTTTCAATGCACACGAGTGCTCATAGGAGCACAACTGACGTCCATACTGGAAGGAGGCTATTCTGGGATGTTCCAAACCTTACCAAGAGTGCCCCATTTGCAAATGCCATCACTCCCAACACTGCCCCTCAGAGGCTGTGATGGTGGGAGAGCCACATATCCCTGCCCCCACCCCCGCTCCCAGATCTTAGCTCTCACAGCAGCATCAGACAGGTGCAAAATAAGATAAACATGGATAAAATAAACCCATTCTCTGTTGTAAAGACTCTCTTCTCACTGAGGGAATATAAACAAGAATAAAGCCTGGGCTTTAAAAAAAACAACATTTTAACAGTTAGATGTACAGAAAGCCATGTCCTGAGACTTTTGTTTGCTGTAATAGAGCCACAAGTGGTGTCAGTCACAAGCATTAACAAATCAGATCACTTATTTATTTGTTTCAAACTATTTTCCTTTTATTTCTTTTTCTTGTCACTAAAGCATTTGGTTTGGCTTTTATTATTTTTTTTTTAATCATCACACTGGTGTTCCCTGTAAGTTTCACAGAGGACATGAAATGTGTGCACTAACATAGACATTGGATCTGAAAGGCTGAAGACACAATGGCCATTCTGCACACCTCCCGAGGTTCTGTGCCTGAAACTAATGTGCATTTGTCCTGTCTCCCTGTGGCCTTCACTGCATGGTCATCCTAAAGAAAGCAGCACATTGCTGCCAGAGAGGGGGACAGCATGGCGGAACACTACAAAGGACAGCTGGCCTGGGTCCCAAGGCCTGCCATGGCTACTTGCTGTTAGTTTGTCCTTGAACGTGTCCCTGAACCCCCATTCTGCGAAGTCATGGAAACGAGGGCTGCCTTTCCAGAGCTGGGGTGAGGATTAGCTGAGACAACACCTTGGCAAGCTTCGTACCTGCAAGGCAGCAGTAACGCGTGTTATGGTGGTCCTTGAAAGAGATAAAGCAGGTGGCCTGCATCTCCACACTCCCTAGGACTTCACTCAGAGACCCCGAGGGGCTAATTTAGACCCCAGTGGGTGTTTCCAGTTCTGCTTTGCCATCAACTTCCTAACTAATGTCAAGGCTGAGACTCGGTTCCTGCCCCGGAAAAATGCAGGACTGGAGCCGCTATCTGCAAAGTGCTGATGAGTTTTAATGGGCTGGAATTCTTTTTCCACCTTCCACCCTCTTGGCACAACTGCCAGATTTTGAAATCATCTCTCTCTTTCTTTTTTTAAGGGATTTGAATCAAAAGTTAAATTCTACCAGCTAAATGCCACCTGTGTGAGCTCTCTGCCGAGGCCGTTTGACTCTGTTAAGCTTCTCCAGGCCATGGCAGGGAACCCCCAGAAACATGCAACAGGCGTGTCTAACACTCTTGGACAGCATCCATCAGAGTGTAGGCTTGGGCTGAGTGGAACTGCAGGCGTGAGATGCAGCCTTGGAAGTGTAGGTGGGGCATTCAGGAAGGCAGGTGGGAGGGAACCACTCAGGAGGTCACGGATCTGGTGCTGTAGGTGGGAGGGAACCACTCACGTCACAGATCTGTGTGAATGACAGAAGATGAAAAGGGATGACCAGAGCTCCACCAAGCTCCTTGTCTGGGAAGTAACGAGCAGTACTTGGAGGTCTAGACTGTGGATCTTGGATTTGATCAATGACTGACATTTTACCGAAGAATAAAGGTCTTTGCTCTGTGTGATACTGATGCTCCGAAGGCATGCAGGAGTAGCAACTGAGCCAGGGAAATCAAGAGGCATAGAAGACTGAGCCAACTCTCCCAGCCGGCTCAGGTCAGTTTGCCAGAACAGGGAAAGAAAACAAACACTGGGGCCAGGCCAAGCACCAAAGATCCTGCTGAAGGCCCCTTGGATACACACCGGTGTCCACAGGATTGACCAGCTCAGCCCAGCTCAGAAGCTTCTCCCAGCTCACCACCGTCACTCCTGGTCCTCACTGCCTGGAGACTCCAGGCAGCAAGAAGAGCTCTTCTGCCTAGAGTTAGTTTTGCTCCATGAGGCACTCTTTCCTTCCTGGAGAAATCTGCCCAGCCTGCTGCTCTGGCTCCAATATCACACTTCCCTTTCAGCTTTTGAATTTCAAAGCAAATCTGAGACTGACTGCAAACAGATGGATGGGGTCATAAAAATCCCCAAGCAGGGAGCAAAGAGGCTCTGGTTGTAAAGGAGAGGCTCCCTGGAAGAATGCATGTGCCCATGCTGCCTTCCTCCCTCTCTGCCTTCTGTGAGCACTCTGCAGCAAAAACACACATCTTTCTCACCTTCCCCTCTCCAAACCCTGCTGGCCTTCAAACCTCAACCTCATTCTGTCTTTCCCAGGAAGCTTTTTGTGGCTTCCTCTCTCAGACTCTAACTTCCCCACCTAAGCAGCCACCAGATTCTCCCTGAATCATAGCACCTCCAACTTCCTGGACTCGTGGTCTCGATCATATACATCTTGCTCTATGACTGGCAAGGACTTTACGTGTCTTAGCCTCTCCAAATCGATTGTAGGCTTAAGAATGAGAAAGCCTCCTTTTGACTAGTCCAGTATTGGACAAATCAACACCAACTAGGTACTTTATATAGTTTAAATGACAATGGTAGGAAGTGAGTAGAGTCACCACTGCTAACTGATGTGAGGATCTGTCATAAAGTGATTCAGGAAATGTCCTTCTGCTGGAGGGCACTATCAGAGTTCTTGGCTGCTGAAGAAAGTGACTGAATGATCTCAGATGGGGTTTCAAAAGGGACACCGAGATGAATTGTTGGAGGTGTGGAGTTTGTTAGAAGAGTTATTAATGCCACCGACAGGCAGACAGATAAATAAGAGTATGGCTGGGGCTCTGAGGAGAGTCCAGACCCAGCGCCAGAAGCAGACAGCAGGCAGAGACACTGAGGAGAGTCCAGACCCCAGCACCAGAGACAGACAGCAGGCAGGGGCTCTAAGGAGAGTCCAGACCCCAGCGTCAGAGACAGACAGCAGGCAGGGGCTCTAAGGAGAGTCCAGACCCCAGTGTCAGAGGCAGACAGCAGGCAGGGGCTCTAAGGAGAGTCCAGACCCCAGCACCAGAGACAGACAGCAGGCAGGGGCTCTAAGGAGAGTCCAGACCCCAGCGTCAGAGACAGACAGCAGGCAGGGGCTCTAAGGAGAGTCCAGACCCCAGTGTCAGAGGCAGACAGCAGGCAGGGGCTCTAAGGAGAGTCCAGACCCCAGCACCAGAGACAGACAGCAGGCAGGGACACTGAGGAGAGTCCAGACCCCAGCACCAGAGACAGACAGCAGGCAGGGGCTCTAAGGAGAGTCCAGACCCCAGCACCAGAGACAGACAGCAGGCAGAGACACTGAGGAGAGTCCAGACCCCAGCACCAGAGACAGACAGCAGGCAGGGGCTCTAAGGAGAGTCCAGACCCCAGTGTCAGAGGCAGACAGCAGGCAGGGGCTCTAAGGAGAGTCCAGACCCCAGCACCAGAGACAGACAGCAGGCAGGGACACTGAGGAGAGTCCAGACCCCAGCACCAGAGACAGACAGCAGGCAGAGACACTGAGGAGAGTCCAGACCCCAGCGCCAGAGACAGACAGCAGGCAGGGGCTCTAAGGACACAACATGGTGAGGGCTCTGAGGAGAGGAGTCAGAACCCACATGGCAGAAGTGGAAGTCTCTTCTTTTTTTTTTTTTTTTTTTTTGGTTTTTTTGAGACAGGGTTTCTCTGTAGCTTTGGAGCCTGTCCTGGAACTCCCTTTGTAGACCAGGCTGGCCTTGAACTCACAGAGATCCACCTGCCTCTGCCTCCTGAGTGCTGGGATTAAAGGCATGTGCCACCACCGCCCGGCTTGGAAGTCTCTTCTTTTACCTTTCTGAGGATGGGTAGGTTTCACAGTGCCAGTCAGCAGCCATGCTCTCTGATTCCCATGCAGAAGGCAAAATAGAGAACACAGTATATGTGACCACCGATACCAGCTTTGATGTCATCTCCCTTCTCCAGGTAAGAGATCCCGCACCTGGAAGTCAGTTAGCTAGGAGAGGACACACACACACACACACACACACACACACACACAATATCTGAATAGGGTGCCTGTCTGTATCTGTGAAGGGGGAAGGCTGCTGCCTCTGCTGTGACCTGAGCAGCAACTAGAGCCCAATATTGCATTCTTACAGTGACTTCATTCTAAAGGAAGCCCTATTGTGCCCGTGGAGTGCGGAACACTTCCTCTTGGCAGAGAGAACAAAGAGACAGGACACAGGGCAAGCTGGGTAAGGGAGGTAAAGTGAATTGAACATCACAGGCTTTAGAGTCAGATGGACCCGGGCTCAAATTCTTATTCTGCTCTTCATGAGTTAGATCCTGTGCAAATAATTCAACCTCTCTGAGTCTCGGTGTTTTATCTGTAATCGAGAATGATAACAAAATCGGCTCTACAGGCTTTCTAAGGGCTGGACCTGTGTCACCCAATACCTAAGGAGCAAAGCTGTCTTCCTGGTGTCCTTGAGAATGAAGATCTCCCCCTCGCTTTATAGAGGAGGACGAGGCACGTTTCCGTGAAGTGAGATGATTTGACCATGGTCACTCAACCAACCAATAATTCCATGCCCTGCAGGCTTGCCCACCCTGATGTTTCAGATAAGAGTGAAGCACTTGACATGAATTAATGTCTAAGGTAAGAAGATGGTACTTGGAATGTTTCCTAGTATCTCTAGGACACAGCTGAGGCTTCAAAAAGACAACATGTCTCTAGTAGTAAAAGGAGCCAGTTGGTCCCTGCGAGGCTTGCTGAAGTAGGGAAAAACTGCTTCAGAACTTCCCACACACCAGCTACCCAATAGCAACCAATGGGAAGTTTTATAATAACTGGTAGTGATGGATAAAAGCCATTGGATCTACACGAGAGACCCTACAGGGGTGTCTATAGCTCATTGAAGGCGTGGTTGGAAGAAAATGAGTCATTTCCTCTTTTACCCCAATGCAGTCAGATCAACAAGCGGGTTACATTTGGAAGCCAAGCCACTGGAGGGGGCCACACAGGCAGCAGGAAAGAGGAATCCAAAGCAGATTGTCCTGAGGTTCTGCCCTCAGCCATTCTGGGTAATCATTCTTCCTGGGTCACTTGGAAGGGACATGGGAGACCCATCTCAGAAGTCAGTGATGTGGCTCTTCAGAACAATTAAGCATAATTATGAGTGTGTTAACTGCGTAGCGAGTTGTGTGTAATTTTCATTCCGAGGTATGACTCAAACGCTCCAGATATGAAAGTCCAAATTACTTAAGCAACAACAACAACAACAAAATGCCCTGCAGACCTTGCGGTGTAGACCCATCTTGGCTGAGCTTCGATTGTAGAGTCGGGAATGAACACAATCTGCACTCGATAGCAGTTCATTTCACTAATGAATTCCCCAGAAGAAACCCGGAAGAGAGCATCTCTCCAGCTCAAAGTAAGACTTTAATTCATTCACTTAGCACTTAAGCCCGTGTCTCAAGTGGGAAATGCCAGTATCGAACATCCATTGAGAGCCGGGTGGATGCTGCATGTCTCTAGTCCAGTCAGGCACAGGAAGCTGAGGTAGGGGGATCTTGAGTTCAGGACCATTCTGTGCATGCGTGTGCGCACACACACACACACACACACACACACACACCTCTGTCTTAGGCCTTCATTCACCAGTGTTTCCTTCAAGGTACTGCAGATAAACCATCTCATGCGTTCTACCAATGATCCTGAGAAGTCAGGGCTCCTGGCCCCAACTTACAGACATGGATACTAAGGTTTTGAAAGATAAGAGAAGTGGCCAAAGAGCATCCTGGGTCAGAGTTTCCACACCACCCCTTAAGCCACCTTCTAGCTCTGAAGTCTGAGGAGAGGTTCTCATCTTTTCAAACCTTCAGTATCCATGTCTACTCCTTCTTCTGCT